TATCTAGAGGGCTGAAATCTGAATAATTTGAACAATTTCAAATACCAACAGAGCTTACACCCCAGTAACATGTAAGCAAGCAGTGAGCGTGTGCCTGTGTCATTCTAAGTCATGTTGACACCCCAAATGGCAGCTGGAGGGTACATTTTCCCATTGACCAGCAGATTTTAACTAGCCCAAATGAAAATAATCTGGACAACACATGCTCAGTGGAATGAGAAAAGGGCTCATTAATAAATTTTTTCACCCGATATTAACAAAATATGGAGTTTTTGTCCACTTTGTTCTGAAAATATCTGCCCTTGCCCCAATGAAAAGATTGTTAGGACATCTGAGAGCAGGTCTTACTGTAATGTGGCCGAGGAGTCAGTTACATCATAACTCTAATGTAAAAATTTATAAACAAGAAGGTTAAAAAACAAGTACTTTCTGACACATTTTCTTCCATTAAGCAAGTAATTTGTTTTTGTCAATGGTGTTCCACATGAGAGAAACAACCCCACTATCAAGTACACATTCCTCTAATTAAGATGGACTAAGTACATGTCCCACACTAGTCTGGTCACAAAAACATAGGTGTGTTTACATTTGCTTAGTTGATCTTAACATATTGTGATCCTGGCATGCATTACCGTTAAAATGAAAATAAGAAGCTTCAATCATTTATATTTTTTGTCTTTTCAACTAATTCCTATCAGAGATAAAGAAGTCACCCCCCCCCCTCCTTGCTTTTTACATAAACTGAAACAAGTGTGTAACAGTTTCAGATTATTAACCATGGTGTCAACACTCCTTAAAACAAATGTATATTCATCCAAAAAATCTCCCAATATGGTGCGCTTTATATTTTTTCATTAAATAAATCTTTCTCATGTCTGGTATACTTACTTGCTGGTTCTCATTTCAATTAAGTTACATAGAAAATTTACTTCATTTGCATGATCTAATTGAAGCTTATATGTGCATTTGTGCATATTACTGGCTGCAAACGTTTTGCATTCATACAGAGATGCAAGTACCTCTTACCAATACAAGACTGACAGTCATGATCTCACTTAACTTCATGAAAATGTCAGATATTTTCTGCACAAGTGCTTCTGTTTGTCCAAGAAAATGCACTGTTTATCAAACCTGATGCAATACGAACATATGAAAATACCTTAATTAATTTTCTTAAGCAACATTTAGCTGTGCAAATGATAATAGTTTACATAAGATGTCACAGGGAACCCTTTATTTAGCCTCTACTCCCCAAGGGCAAGGAAATTAATGTGATGTTTGTTTTTCCTAAATAAAGTCAAATCCACTTAGTGCTGAAAAAGGCAAAAAAATTCACCTTTTATGTACCGCCTGTCTGCAGGGCTTAAAACTAAAAAGTAACAAAAATAAATCCCTGATTCACTGGCCAATGCTACTTTAAAAATTCCCTTCTGTTTGAACCTATTTGTGTTTTTCTCTCCCCCTCCTTTCACAAATATATTCCTCTCCAGTTCAACTGTCTCAATGAGAACACTGCCACAATACCTCTCATGTTTGAATAACAGCAGGCCTGCGGTTGAAAATTAATCCACCGTTTAGTGCACTGGGCTAGAAAGGCCCTTTCATACCACTGACCCTCCTCCATTCTAGTCTTTCCTCCCTGCTGCTGTCAGTACACTGTGATTTCATGGTGTAACTTTCATTGAAGCTGAAGAAACCCCTAATCTTCAGACTTAATCCTATAGTCTCTCCTACAAATCTCATTTAAATGACCATCCTCAGAGAGATTGGATTCCTGTGTGACATTTGGTCAACTCCTGGACAAAATGTCAGCTAACTAGTGAGAAGAAATTTAATGTTTTGAACCTGCATTTTGGTGTGCTGTGTAGGGATACTGAGTGCAAGGTAGTTGGATGGCTATAATGAAGGGGTGGGGACTGGTTCTCTCTATGGTTCAGGACATGCAACACCCTGAGCAATTATGTACACCAGTTAACTAACAGCTGTTCACTTTTTTGTTTTGATATTTCACACATACCTCTTGCACAAAATATGTTCACATTGAGAAAAAAAGTGAGGAAAAAACATACTTCCCTGTTAACATTGATAACAATCAGTTTTCTGATGTTTTCTCCCATTTTCTGGCATTTGTTCCATATATCTTAGTTTTATGCCAGACACTTACTATTATACAGTATATACCACCCCTTCTGTGCTACCTGAGTACTCGCTGATGGTATTTTTATGGCAATTAAGTGTTAAGATGCATTTTAGTGTTAAACATAAATGTAAAATACCACTCTATAAATTGCACCATGTATCTCAAAAATTCCTGAACTACAGGTGTGAATTTAAACCAAAAACAAGACCCACTCCTGTTGGAACAAGACTAATTCCTATTAAAGGACCTCCAAAATTACTTTGTACTTTCCAACACCCCCTACCCCATGGTCCCTCCCCCCCCCCCCCCACTACCACTTTGCTAATATCTATCAAACTTGATTGCTCATACATGTATGACATGTACACAACTTAACAGAAAGTACACTATTGCAAGTAAGCATCTTCTCTTTCTCACATCTTTTTAGTAGTTCACAAAGATAAATAATAATCAGGGTCTCCAAACTCCCTTATTTCCTCAATATATACCTGAAGTCATTGCCATGATGCTGGAGATAATATGTACACCAAAACAAAAACTAAAAAAAAAAATTAAGGTCTCCAAACCCTACCATTGCTTGCCTTAAGAGTTCATCTATTACATATTAACAGTCTGAACAGTACATGTACTATCATTAACTTATCTTTTAGTCAACACATGAGTTCAAAAGGCTACTATCAAAGTCAGACTTAAAGTGTGATGTGTGCAGCAATCTATTTATCTTGTAACCAACCAGACATACCAGTGGCATACACTTAGACAGTAGTATGAGTGTACATGTAGTTGTCTACATTAATGTAGTTGTATATATTAATGTAGTTTATGTACATGTAGTTGCAGTAGAAGTGTCTGTCACCACAGTACTGATCAGCTTGGCCTACTGATTAGGAAATAGGGGGCGAAACTGATGGATTTTTGGGGGGTCATTCTGCCATCAAATTATTTTATTGTAATCATGTGGACAAGCTGTATGGGGATCAGCTCTATGTTATGAAGGTTAGCAGCTAATACTAAGGTCTGCTAGTACAAAAAAGGCAAAAAATGTTCTTTTAGGACCTGTGAAATCTTGGGTTTGCTATGGTGAAGGTCTGTTATTCCAAAGGTTTGCTATTCTGAAAAGGTATATTGAAACAATAGCTATGCTTCACAAATTGCATACGTTGCGTAATTGGTATATAATTGTACATAGCTTCTGCGCTTCTTTCGACATGCATTTCAGAAGAATACTGAACCTTCGGAAAAGTAAACCTGAATAAAGAAGTGCACCTGCTGCATGGTCTACAGCAAGTGACAAAGCAGTGGACTATTGCCAATGGCCCCATTCAGAATGGATGATCCGAGTACTTACTGATCAGCCAACTAAATATGGCCCACCACAGTTCAAAAGCGATGCCGCCGATTCCCGATGGTCTCTCTGCCTCCACATGCGCCATCACTGCAGGGACCTACATGTAGCAATTAAACCTCAGAGCAGAGATTTAATCCTATTAAAGGAGTGGTGGAGTAGGGGAGACTGTCAGGAATCAGCGGCATTGCTTATGAACTATGGTCAGCAATATTTAGTGGGGGGATCAGTAAGTACTCGGATCATCCATTCTGAATGGTCCCAATGAGACATCCTAGCTAAAGTGCTGACTAAGCTAAGGTTACAACAAAGTTGAATGTAAAAAAACTGGAACAGAAAGCGCCTCACCAAATATGACCAAAACCAAGCTGCACCTGCAGGAATTTCATGGTCAATTTTATGATGCTCAATCAGGATCAGGGAGACCGACCACCCACCTTTCTCTTTGCTGTCAACTGACCCACACTGCTGTCACTAACAACAATCAGTGACCCAAGCCACAAGATCTAAAATCAAACTGACTCCAGATTATATTACAAAGGCTGTAGTTATATACAGATTGAAGCACTGTCACAAAAAGAGGAGAAAGTTAAGCCCTGTGGGTACATTTTCCTGCTGACCCAAACAAGGCCACCTTCTTACAAAACCCTGACCCTAGGAAGAGTTAATCATTTCACAAGGTTATCATTTTAAGCAGGTGGGAGCTCATTCATGATTTACTGTGCACAGATAATAAACACATACACAATAAAATATCATATCTGATTTACACTCAAGGCATACAAACACAAGCAAAACACAAACCATGCACAAACAGAAGAACACTGTCACATACTCATGATATGGAAATGTATTTATATACACAAACATATCTGCATTCACCCACTAATTTACATTTTCAAAACCTCCCTCATTCAATTGTCAGAAATCAAACTGCCATCACTGTTTGAGGACATTCCTAAAACAAATGCTTATAACAGAAAAAATTGAATGTCTGCATCTTGCCATGGGGGCATGTATACCTCTAAAATCACAAAATTTGTTTCTCCTTCATTAAAAATCAATCAAGAGAAACTATTCCAAATATTCAGTATTGATAGGGTCTTTCTCTGTAGGTGTGCTGATAAGACCAGGTAACTGGAGTCCAGCCTTGGGTACTTAAAAGTTTATGTTTTATGGTTGTCTGGTCACGTTTATCACTAATGATGGGAAAGGGGAGAAGACAATGGTCAGTGGTCATTCTATACTAGCCACCCTTAATTCATGGTCAGTTGACATGTAGCTGGCAGCAACACAATGGTTAACATATTCTGGACAATGTCAAATCATTTCCAGTGCAAATTGTAACTAAAAAATGAACAATCATTGAAAATAGTGTACATATCATTTACAGGAAATAATTTGTATCATTACTGCATTTGTATAATGCCCGAGTTTTTGTGCATATAAGAAAAAATAAGGTATAGGGAAAAAATGAGGTTTAGGGAAAAAATGAGAAATAGTATTGTCATTCACCTGGCCAAGGTCCAGTGTAATGGTCACCCAATCATACTGCCATCCATTGGCTAAACTTGGACTCTGCCACCACCGATTTGAACCATCAATGGCATTCTGAATAGGATGACGCTGGTATGGCAAATCACCATTAGCATCGCATATCCCACATTGGTAATTCTTCATCATAAGCTGCTTGACATGTTCCACCAGCTTGCAGTAGGTCTCTGGGCCCGTTTCTCCACATGTGGCATTACTGGTAATATCTGCTTCCGTAGCCAAGTTGAAAATCACAGGGAACTTTCCTTCATCTGAAAGATATAAAAGAAAAAAATATAAAACCACAGGAAAAAAATGTCCTTACATAAAAAGAACGAGAATTAGTTTGAAATATTGTAAAATACAGGTACACATTTTCGTGGCAAAAAAATGATGTAAGGCTATATAATTTGGAAACAATATATCTGAATACATTTGGAAAAACTCCCAAAATATATGCAATAAAACTGCTTTGAAATGACTAACTGCAAAGAAAAAATGTAAATTCTGCAATTGTATTCAAATGACCATTCCTCTGTGCAGAAGCATCAGCTTCACATTTTAATGCTGAAAAGAAAGAACAATACCATTAGGCCTGGATATTTCATGGTTGTCAGATTACTGTTTTTCTGTGTGTTTTGACATGAACCACCCCAGTGCACAGCATAAAACACCCAAATAAACACTTTTTGGTATGCAAGGTAGTGTTACATGTTTAACAAGCCCTTGCTTTTCTAACCCAAAGAAGAAATGTAGACATATAATCTGGTTTCACATAAATGCAGTTAAAGTCAATTTGTTTTTACTTCTTTTGCAACATTAAGGGGTCATTCCCACAGATATTTGGACCGATCTATCTCCCTGGGGAGTCTCACTAAATTGCTTAAATGTGTGTCACGCCTAGTAAAGCTGTTAGGGGGTAATTATCTTTACCCCAGCTGATTCGGTAGGCGTGACAGACATTTAAGCCTCTTGAGCTGATAGCAATTTAGCGTGAACCCCCAGGGAGTTAGGTCAATCCAGATGGATCGATCTAAGTATGGGAACCCAGTCTAAGGCAAAATAGGTTCGCTATGATAAAGGTTCACTTTGCTCCAAGTCTTCTATGATTCACTCCCAAATGCATTGAAGGTACAGAAAGAGTGCAAAGATAGCAAATAAAGTATAGTAAACAAATTGTCAGTGGGTACTACTGTTGTGAAAGTGAAAGCATTCTTTATGAAATGCAACGCAACATACAGTTGATATTCTCATTGCGCTTCAAGCATAATAATAATAATAAGCTTTATTAGGAGGTGAGTTACACATTATATTGCACTATACAGTTTAATTCTTAGTTGTTATTGTTAGGAATTATCCATGTACAAGACTGCGCAGATTCCAAAAAATGCAAATAGCATACAGTAGATTTGAGTGAGAGAGAGAGAAAGAAGGAGAGAGGTGAACATGAAAAAAAAGGAAAAAAAAGCCCACAGTATCCAAACTACCAGGGCAGCACTACTTAAATACAGATTCTAAAAACAGAGTGACTGCTTCTGGAGCTGGTTACTGTTTCAGTTGAATGAAGGACGAAATGAAGTGGTATGTATTGGGACCCTCCTGTGACAGTTATAAAGACTTGAGCAGCAAGTACCTGTCAGAACCAAGACTGGAATTGGTGCACAAAGAGGGCAAGCTTTGGAATGTGAATAAGTTACCTTCATTCCTCTTTCATATCATCTCTCAAAATAAATTAGCCTTAAGTAGACACCTTAATGGCAAATACATATCAATTTTAACTTGAGCAAACAAGACCCTCCCTCTCATGGTTTTTTTCTATATATCACCATTCCTTTTACCTCCCTTTTATTTTTAAATCTTTCTTGACTTCCTTCTTTTGTGCACGCCTTTTTTTATAATATACAATGTGCAAAGAAGTCCGAAATACCTTCCTTTAAATATTTCCACATCAAATTTTCACCAGTTTTCTTTTTTCTGTCTGTATGTAATTTTTCGATTTTCACTTATTCATACTTCCCTTCCCTTTATCAGCACTATACCCCTCCCCTTCCGACTCTCCTCTAAATCATTCCCTTCATTTTTTCAAGAAATCTTTTAATCTACTGCACCACACCTTAGTATTTCTTATTTAATGATTTTATTTCATTATGCCTCACGCCCCAAAACTACTAATGGTTGTTGCACTGAATGAAGATAGAGCTTTCCTCCACCACTATCACTCCCCTTTATCAACTTGATAAGAGGGGGTACGAATTGAGGAAGAGCAATTTCCCTTGCACCTGTTCTATAACAATGAGGAAATATGTACAAGTATATTAAATAGGTACATATTGAGATAAAGGTATTGTTCATCAAAAGGATGAGACCACTGTTCTGGGTTTATCCACCATAGAAGACTATACATTTAGTGAATAGTCTTGAAGTCGGGCAGAGCATTTATCCAGATTTATCTTAAGTCATTTAGACTGGGTACAGTGATTTGTGTGCCTGTGTAAAGAGTGTAAGAAGTTAAAGCACGATACATACTCATTAGCACAGAAAAATAAATAAAATTTTGGAAGTTGATCAACAAAGCAACCATGTCCAACAAATAAAAATACACTCTGTAATAATAAGGTTTCACTCTATTTAAAATTTAAGCATACCCAATAAAGTAAAAAGTTGAATGCCATACAAGAGTGGCTTCAAAAAAGGGAGAAAGGCAAAGGAAGACATGATTTACATGTATAATGACATTCTCTACGTGATGTCGAAGTACATTCTCTCTAAACCGTCTCCTTGCAAGAGGATTTATGTGTGTGGTATTCTTAGTAGGATAGAGGTGCTTAACAATACCACACAGCCCTTCATTTTGGTTAGGGTGGAAATCTCATTCAAACTTCAAACTTCAAAGACTATATCCCACTGCTGGCAATAAGCTGCAAAGAGGCGAGAAAACAAAACAAACCAACCATTCACACAGCACTTCTGGAATATTGTGAAGTGTTTCTTTGATGTTGTTTCGTGTAGGGCCTGACCTGCAGTTCTCTTACCTCTAACACCTGTGACCCCAGAGTTAATTTGATACCTTTATTTAAGCTGCAATAAAAAGGGGAAGGCAAACAATAAAACAAGTAAAACTACGATAATGTTACCAGAGTAGTCAACATGGAGTGCAGGTATTGTATCTAGAGTCATAATAAGTCAATCTATGGCCAGGTTAAAGAGGAAAGCCTTTGTTGATGGTTTGACTCCTATTTTATTGCATTACACCTTATGGTTAAAAATTAAAGGAAGATAGAATGGTGTCACCTTCAATTGACAGGACAAACCAATTACACACTCTAATTCTATCACCTAAAGGATAGGGTGTCATTGGCTTAAAAGGGGGGGGGGGGCTTGCTGGTACAAGGGTGGGAGGGAAGGTTAGTCTCCTTGGCTAACTGCCAAGTGTTGAATTTTTAATGTCTAGTTTTGATTGCTGTCGACAAAATTTGTGGCTGGATTGATGACTTTGGGGAGATAATGGTCATTTTGAAATATGCCCATCTCTTCAGGTATCAAATGCCTAGGATTGCCNTGACCTAAATCCATGAGATGGGTACGGGGACCCTTACCGTCTAGGAGGAGAAGCGGTAACGGTAGCCGTCCGGCGGAGCCAACGGAGCCGGCGGAACGATCCGGACGGGACCGAAACCATGTGTACCGCCAGCGCTAACGCTGGTGGTACAATAATAAGGTTTCACTATATATAAAATTTAAGCATACCCAATAAAGTAAAAAGTTGAATGCCATACAAGAGTGGCTTCAAAAAAGGGAGAAAGGCAAAGGAAGACATGATTTACATGTATAATGACATTCTCTACGTGATGTCGAAGTACATTCTCTCTAAACCGTCTCCTTGCAAGAGGATTTATGTGTGTGGTATTCTTAGTAGGATAGAGGTGCTTAACAATACCACACAGCCCTTCATTTTGGTTAGGGTGGAAATCTCATTCAAACTTCAAACTTCAAAGACTATATCCCACTGCTGGCAATAAGCTGCAAAGAGGCGAGAAAACAAAACAAACAAACCATTCACACAGCACTTCTGGAATATTGTGAAGTGTTTCTTTGATGTTGTTTCGTGTAGGGCCTGACCTGCAGTTCTCTTACCTCTAACACCTGTGACCCCAGAGTTAATTTGATACCTTTATTTAAGCTGCAATAAAAAGGGGAAGGCAAACAATAAAACAAGTAAAACTACGATAATGTTACCAGAGTAGTCAACGTGGAGTGCAGGTATTGTATCTAGAGTCATAATAAGTCAATCTATGGCCAGGTTAAAGAGGAACGCCTTTGTTGATGGTTTGACTCCTATTTTATTGCATTACACCTTATGGTTAAAAATTAAAGGAAGATAGAATGGTGTCACCTTCAATTGACAGGACAAACCAATTACACACTCTAATGCTATCACCTAAAGGATAGGGTGTCATTGGCTTAAAAGGGGGGGGGGGCTTGCTGGTACAAGGGTGGGAGGGAAGGTTAGTCTCCTTGGCTAACTGCCAAATGTTGAATTTTTAATGTCTAGCTTTGATTGCTGTCGACAAAATTTGTGGCTGGATTGATGACTTTGGGGAGATAATGGTCATTCTGAAATATGCCCATCTCTTTAGGTATCAAATGCCTAGGATTGTCATTGGTTTCATTTAACTAGCTATGACAATAAATGGACTTCACTGCACATTGTAATTCTTTAATCATTCTTTACTGTACCTAATTTATTTAACCTCAATTATAATATATATTGGAGAAAACACCCATAGCGACATAACAGATCTAAAGAAGTCTGCTTGTCACTGGTTGATGAAATTGGACAAGATGACAAGGTAAAACAGGTAGAAAGTACATCTATGTTGCCCAGGATAACATAACAGCAGTATGTTGCTAACCCATGTGTTGAAATAATTCATAAATGAGAGAAGGGGATGTTTCTGCCCATCACATGATTTAACAAGTCATTGCTACAGGTTCATTTGCTAGCACTAATGAATCCAATTACTAAAACAGCTGATACTTTATCAAAAAAAATGTAAAACAATACTAGACAATCAATTACGAACTGCACGGACCCAGTCTGAAATACAGTCTGGGAAATTTGGGATCAACTAAAGGTGGAACATTAAGTCATTTATAATATGGCCACCTGATGACAAAATTAGACTTATACTGAATACCTATAGTAATAAAACCTGGTAATAATGAGAATTATACCCCATCCATTGTGCTAGGGCTCTTTCATCATCTTAAC